GCCATATGAAAAAGGGAATTGAGGATAGAATGGATAAAGAAAAAATATATATTCGCTGTAGGTATTGTAAATAGTTGTGTTGTACAAATTTTGTTCTTTTTATTTTTTTAAATTTCCCATATTCTAATTTTTATTTTGAGACATTAATATTAATAGGAATATTTGAAAATATGTTTTTTATTTTGTTGCATCCTAGCCCAATATTTTTGCGATACAATTCATTTTATAAATATTCTTCGATTTGTCCTCTATCGATGCCATTTCCTGTGCGTTTTGCCAGGCATAACTGAAATATTCGCAGTCGCGTTTGCTGCGACCGCATTTGAAATATGCGCTAATTGAATGTGAAAACAAAATGCGAGTTGGAACTACAGGACAGGACAGGACAAGACAGCGCGGAGCTAAGCAAGCAGAGTGACTGGCCAAAAGGAGCCAAAGAAAGCGAAATGGCCAAAGAGCAATGCATTTTGCGTTGTTTGGTTTCTAATTAAAATACCAAAAAGCCGAAAACAAAACTAAGCTCAATTGAGCTGAACGAGTCGAAAACGTGGGCCATTTCGTACCTTGAGAGCTGCAGAGGAACTGCAGAGGAACTGCTTGTGTATACATACGAGTATGTGTATATATATATGTGTGTATGTGTGAGTGTGCGTAAATTTCGAACAAAACGAAATGGCCGCGTTGTGCGTTGTTAATGAAGCAGAAAATGCCTGGAATTTTCGCTTGATTGTGGCTGTCGCGACGCGACGATCGACGCGGCGGCTTTTCGAGTTGCGGACTGAGTGTTTTATTTAGTTATTGAATGGCTAAGCCCAGGACAAGAACAACTAACAGCGACAAGGCGGTCGCCCTTTTGGTTGAAGAAGCGAAAATTTAGCAGCATTTTTGGCGCTTTTGTTGCAAGTTGCTGGCTTGTTGTTGTTGGTTTTTTAATTAACGCGCGCTACGTTTTGAACGTTTGAAGGGTCCCGAGTGCACATGATGGGCATATAACTCATTGGAATTATGGAAGAAGCGGATGGCAAAAGCAAACGTCCACCCCAGTCAGCAGGCACCCAGGCCGCGGCAAAACTTGTCTGGTCCAGAACAGAACGTACATAAACTTTATCCGTCTATAATCTAAATATGTTTCGCTATAGCGCTGTGCGCTGCTTTTCGATGTTGTCGTGGCTGTTGCAACAATTTGCTGCAAATTGAAAGCCAATTACGTTGTTTGCAGCATGCCACGGCAATGGCAAGGCAAACTGGCAAAATTGCAGCCACAGGCAGAGGTAGAAGCAGAGACAGAGGCAGAGCAACAGACAGAGACGGTTGGCGCTGCCTTGGCCGTTCGCTCTCAGCAGACGACATAAATATCAAATACAGGTCCATAAATTTGAAACCAATTAGCCAACTTAAATTGATAATAGTTGCAACAAGCGGCTGCCGCTGCCGCTCAGGCTGCTGGCGATCGGCAGCCCGAATTGCTGTCCTAGCATTTGCCTACCAGCTACAGGAAGCCAAAATCTCATGTAGCCTTCGGCCGGATTGGCCGCTAATGGCAGTGCCATTTGTTGACATACGTCGCTCGTGTTGACTTGGCAATTTTCGTCGCTGTCGTTGTTGCTGGGGCAATTGTTGTCCATATTCGTATGGAGCAACAGCGTCATATGTCTTGTCTGCTGGTGTCTGCGCTGTCTGTGCCCTGCGCTCATGTCGTGCCTGTCGTGTCGTTCTAATCACAATTGTAGCTGCCTCCTTCGGCTGCCGGCCGTGCGTTAACCATGCGACTTTTTATGGCGCTTTTATGCAAAACAACTTAATTTCGAGCCTCGAAACGTTTGCAACAATGCAGCGCGTAAAATATGCACTGCTAGCCAGCCAGGCTGCCAGCCAGCCAACCAGCCAGCCAGTCAGTCGGGCAGCCAGTCGACGGGCGACGGGCGAAACGAAAGACTTAGGCAACAAACTTGCCAATGTACAAATGTGCGCTATTTGCTGTGTTGCGAGTAGCTGTTATAGAAAATTATCTTAAACTGATTTGATATATATTCAAATAGGCGATGTGCGACACATGTTGATGTTGTTGCATGCAACAATTGCAGCATTTGTTGCACTCGCCTAGCGCCAGACACGCAGCCGGTAGCTAGAGTTAGAGCTCTCTAGCGAAACGGATAACATCGCTTACAGTAAACGTTTAGTTGTATTTTAATTAAAATATTTTCCATTTCCCTCGCTGGCAGACAAAAGCGCCTAAGTGGTCGTGCAAGGAGCCGGATTGAGATCGAGCCATGTCCGTGTTGTTGGACAGGTGGCATTTATAAACAGTATTAAAAGCTAATTTGGGTGGGAATTGATTGACATACATAGATCTGTTGCTGGAAAGAGCCAGATGCAGATAATATAATAACTGAAACAGGCTTATGCCACGTTTTCAACTGTTAAACTTACTGCGAAATTTCCCCAGTAATTAATCGAAATGCTCTTAAAATATAGCCCATCGGTCAGAGGCAATGCTTTATAAATGTCAGACGGGACATTAATGTAGCGCATTTATCTAATTAGACAAGCGTTTTAAGTCCAAGCTTGAGCCTCGCTCGCTTCGCCAGCAGCAACTGGCTGAACGTCTCACGCCAAATAAATTAATCAGCTAATTGATGAGCATAAATTAACCGTATGCAAATAAGCCAATGGGGCCAAATGGCGCGATCTTCGGCGCGCCGGAGGCGATCCAGTTGGCTTATTGATGGCCAAACTGAATTAAATTGGGCAAATGAGCAGCGGTCAATATTTGTCAGGCAATGGACCACCCACTGGCTTTGTCAATGGATCTCCACCTCCTGTTCACCTTCTGCACAAATCCAACTATACAACTCAATTAATAACAATTTCTCAGAACAATAATGCAAACTGCGAGTCCGTTTGGCACCCAAAAATTAGATTATCTCTGGGCAACTGCAATTCATTCCCGGGACTCGCTATCGGTCGCTGTCATCGTCGCTTCGGTGTTGCGGAATTAGTTGCTCGGCGCAGGTAAAGGCACTGGCACAAGCACAGGCTCCGGTTCAGGTTCAGGCTCAGGCTTTGGCCTGAACTTTGGGCGCGCGAGGTCGTGGCAGCCGCATGTTGCTTCAGTTGCTTTAATTGAAAACCGTACGAAATGGAAAATGGACTTTCGAGAAGGCAAGCGGGCAGGCGGGATGTTAGCTGGTTGCTGTGGAGCAGCTCACTAAATTAGCCAACCGACTTTTTCTAATTTTGCGGCTGAGAGCGCGTCGAGTGCATTTCAGGGCCCGTGACGCTGGCATTTGGCAATTTATGGCAGGCCAAAGCGGTGTCGAAAATAGCGCCAACAACAGGCCAACAGGCAAGCACAAGGATGATGATGACGACGACGACGATACGAGGCTGATGCTGATAGCTTTTTGCAAGTTACTTTCTAATAATGCAGCGAAGACAACAGCAACAGCAACAACAGCAACAACAGCAACAACAACAACAACAAAGGCGATGGGCTGATGTGAATGTGGCAGGGGTTGTGGATATGGATGTGGATGTGGATGTGGATGTGGATGCATTGCACACGAAAGTCATAAGCGCAGCCAAGGCAATTAAGTTCAAGCGACAAGTTGCGCTGCTGGAAGCCAGGATAGCGGCGGGCCAAAGCAGGTGGCGGTGGTGGTGGCGGTGTCAGCGTTACTGGTGCTCTGGTGCTAGTGGTGCTTGCAGCTGCAGCAACATGTTTATGGCTCGAAACGGATTGCACGTAATGGGATTTACGCTGAGCGACAGCGATAGCCTGCGACTGCGACTGTTTCAGCAACAGCTTCAGCTATGGCTAAAGCTTCAGTTACAGCGCCTGCGCCTGCGCCTCAATAAAGCCGATCGCATTACCAATTAGGCGTGCACACTTGGCTAAACAGCCGCCATGTTCGCCACTTGGCTCCTCGGCAAGTGGAAATTGAATTAGTTGTCGCTGCATATGCGTGACTCGGCTCCAATCGGGCCTGCCCTGGTCCGGTCTGGTCCGGCCTGGTCTGGACTCGACTTAGACACAGATTGAGACTGGGTGTCGCTGTACACAAACGTGTGTGTATGTGTGTAAACATTTTTTACACTTTGCCACATTCCTCTGCCGCGCGCATAAATCAAGCCACTGCTCGCCTGTCAATCCGCAACTGCAGCATTGATAGCCTTGTCGTCGTCATGGCCAACGTTGCTCTTGGCAAGTGCTCGACCAACACAGCTGGCCACATGCGGCAGTGTGCCAGTTTCCCATTGCAAATTATGGCGCAATGGCTTTAAATCCTGTTTTTGTTGTTCTTTTTATTTTGCCTTACAGCAGTCCTCAGCATGTAAAGACGCTCAAAGCTCTCGTTCAGAGCTAAATTTATTCAACAGGCAAATGGTCTAGACTCTTGAATTCAGTGCATGAAGCATTGCTTTGTTGTTTTGGGTCACCAAAAATTGCAGCAAATTTCACTCTAGTTGGACACTCTTGATGATAGCAACCTATAATTAATGGTACTAACCCAAAATGCTTATTTCCCGTTCATTTTCATATGGTTCCGGTTGCCAAGCGAAGATTAATGTATTTCCTAGTTTGTTTTGACATCTTTGATTTTCGTTTGTACAGGTCCAGGTGCAACGAAGTGCATTAATTTCGCTTTATCTTTAATTGGGTAAAAATAAAGTGTGGGGCGTTTTAGGCTAAAACGCGACCGGATTGGCTGAACGAATTTTGTATGGTCAAAGAGTATGTTGTTCACTTGATTTAATATATTTGCACACGATTTTTACTCGATTGTTTGCACATTTACATAAATTCATTACATATATAATTTATATAAATAATATTCGAAGGCACTTTTTGAAAAAATATACATTTTTAATTCAATGGCGCCAAAGTAGCTGCTGCTCAATGCTCACAAGAGCTCGTTGCTATGAAATTCGAGTAACGCTGTTCAACACTTGAGTGAACGCTACAAATTTTGATATGGTCACACTGCAAACAGCTGTTAGAAGTTTTTGTGAAATAATTAATAACAATAAAATATCCGAGCATAAAACTTAATGAAGTAAAATTAAACATTCTGCGACAGTTTATTAGGTAAACTAGAAAGGAGTAAGTGGATAAGTCGTGTGATTCACGCAACAAATTCCTGAAACTAGCAACAAAAAACAAAAAAGATGTGGAATTTGAAGCATTTTGCTGCAAATTTGTATCGACAATACGAGCTTGTTACATGTATAAATATGTTTGAGCCCTGGGAGAAGAAGTTGATTAGTAAGTAACGACATATCAGGAGATTTCAACCCAATACAATTGCTCTATTGTACGCAGATGGATTCGTCTTGCTGATGTTTGTACTCTTGATATTCTCAAGCTGCGTCTACTTGCCCAGCTATATGGACACGCTGCTCGATGTAATAACCCCAGCAAGTGGAACCAACAAAGTGCCGGATATGGTATATGTGCCGCAAAGAATCAGCAGCATTTAAGGACCCAAAAACTCTATAAAACACTTACAACCGCGATTTAGATATATGCACATAGTACTTGCCCAATTGGTAGAAAACTAGAATTTAATGAAAACATTTTGTGATTTACTTTAACCTTATCAAAATCTGTAAATATTTGGTCGTGCCAATGTAGATTCTATTTGCCCATTTATAGACTTCTTTTCTGTACTCCAAGCACATAAATATGGCCTCAACAACGCGCACTGCCGATACATTGAAGAACAGACTAATCAAGCCTCCGAAAGAAACTGAAATGAAGAGGTTGACATTAAATTGAGGATACGCTTAGTTTGGCTACTTACTCAATAGGTCCAGAGGTGTTTTGGCCACGCGGCGGACATAGCGCTGTGTGGGTAGCTCCACCAGTGCCACATGTATATCGGAGACATCCTTTTCGGCATCCTGCTTGCTGCAAGTAACATACATATTCATTATCATATCAAACATTTTGGAAAGCTTTCGCCACATACTCATCTGCTGTATTGTAGATTATGTTATACTCGGGCTCCTCGCAGGAGCTCATACAATCACAGGACTTGCGTTCTGAGACCAGCCTTTCATGGATGTGCGTCAAACAGATTAAGCCACGAAAGTCACACATAGGCAGCGAATTCTTGCTCGGCACAGCCATAAAGTGGCTGGTACAATTGCAGTATAGCAAATGCAGCGCCACGGTGCACTCCACAATGCAGCCGGAGTAGCTGTAGAACTCGTAAATTCCTATACGTTGCTCAACATGCTCGTGACTATAACGACATCGTCGCTGCTCATGGCTCAGCTCCTCAACATTTTCGTGATTGTACACCTCGATGACGTTCAGTATGAGCTCCTTGTTGTTTCCCAACAGCACTGTCTCGCGTATCATGCCCTCGGAGAAGTGAAAGGGCACGTCGATAGGCGCATGGACATGCACCTGAATGTCGGCAGTAGCAAGAAATTTAAGATGCCCAGCTCCGGTCATACGATTGTTTTTATACTGCACCTGCGCTACTTTGCGCGCCTGGTGCGAGTTGAAGGAGTAACAGACACCATATTCTGTGAATATGGGTAAAAATTGATCGCAGCACTCGAAGATCTGGTTGAGGTAGCGGCACTCCACAATAAGCTCATGGCACTTGGTGCGAAACTACAAATATATATGGTTAGATTAATGAAGAAAGCTTGAACAACTCGTATCCTACCACATCTAGCAACAGTGTAAAGTTGTCCGGACAGTACAAATGATGACAGTTCTCGCAGCTGATGCAGATGCCCCTGAAGAATGCGATCTCGCTGACGAAGTCATCGATGTGCATGTCGTGCTCCATGCCAAAGTAAGTGTCGCTCAGGTCCCAAATCTTTTCCGAGTTGTACAGCTCGCAAACGGTTATGGCTGGAAACGAAGTGTTCCAATTGAGGCTGTAATTTGGAATGAGTTAGGTTCTAATATAGATCCTCGTACAAAACTTACTAAATGGTATCCAAGTTAAAGGAAACAGATGAGGAAAAGTAACTCTCAATCAGCGACCTTGATACGGACCCTATAAACGGCAACGTGTTATAAAATGTGGCCAAATAGAGTGACCTATTTCGTAAATGGGTAATTCTATATTATATAATAGATAGTCCTATATTGTAATTTACCCTTTCAGTGCCAGCGACAAATAAAGAATCCAGTTCATTGTCTATGAAACGTTCGCTACCAAAGGCAAAACATTTATGCGGCGCATGTCACTTATTGCGGGAATTTTTTTTTTTGGTGGTTGACTACACAACGCAACACAAAGGAAGCGATTTTTCCAGATAATATCTACGCATTGTTCCAAATTCAATTTAACTAGACGCTCGCCAACTAACAGTGTATATATTTTCAGTTTTGATTCAGTGCAGCCTGAATTGGATTAATAGTTTCTTTTGACTGTTTAATAGATACAAAATGTGTGTATAATTTCTTTTTTTTTCTTTCTACGTTTGTTATTTCTATTACGGATTGCAATAGAGTCCTATGGAAATAAAGATTAATTTGTGACGCGATGTGCTACCGGAGTTCCCCTTGTGATAGACGACCAATAATGTAAGCGTCTGAGTTTTCTCGCATTTCATTAAAATGCGATTAAAAAATTACTAAACCTTATATTTGCATGGCTTAGAGACTGGGTGCGACTATAACCGCGAACAATAAAAGACGTTAATTAAAGCATTCCAAAGCATTTATTCGGATGATTCACTATGATAAAATCAAATCTGAATCAGAATGAAATTTCACATAGAAATTTCGCAAGTTGGAAGTTATTGAGGAGGGCAACACACTTCCAAGGTGAGCTGGGGGTATTACCAACATACGCTCGATATGAATCATTAAAGTTTACGATAGTACCACAATAAATAGTCTTTCTTTGTCCTACCTTTTAGGGCTGAAATGCGAATATATAAATTGGCGCTGCGGATAGTTTAACACACCCAGCCTTACAATTTTAGACTGAATTTTATATTTGTAAAGCTCAGGACTCAGCTCCAAATTAGTCAGGCATTCTTTGAATTTGTATTGATCAGAATTAACTATATCTTAGAAACAATTATTGTTGACTGATCAAGCTGGCGAACTTATTTTCCAAATGATCAAAAAATCGTATTGTAAATGAAAAAGATTGAATTTCAGTAGAACTTATAGTGAATCAAACTTCTCATAACTCATAGTTGAATGTAGCAATGCCGATAATGGCGCATTCAGCTGATCAACAGTGAATCATGACGTCAACTTGATATTAGCAAGAGCAGGCCGTGAGGTAATGTCTCTTATAAATATTTATATGTATTGTGTACCTAGCGACTATACTTAAAATATACAGTAGTTGCATCTCCAAGATACTTTTGAATCGCTTTTGATGCTAAATACCGGCGAAACACCAAGTTGGGTCTAGTCAGCTCCAACGAGAAGTCCGATATAGTTATAGTTTCCACTTAAGTTAAAAACGTATTGAAACTGAGTTTAGATATCTAAAAAATATATTATGCCTATTATAAAAAATCCACAATTTTTGTCCGATATACATATAATATAAAGGTTCGTTCTGTCCGACTGCATCATATATACGGCCTGGATACAGATTCGGCTGTTATTTTTTATTATAAAAAGGTGTTCTTCTCTTTCTTTGGAAGGGTCTATATCGTAGTTATATTGCGATGTTATTTCACATATTTAAGCAACTATTGTCGTAGCCCACTGTTTGCTTATAAGTATATTTACTGCACTTGCTGTATTTGTATCTTTCCCAAATTAGCGCATATGTTGGGAAGACTACAGGTTTGTGCATATATACTTATTTTTTTAAAGCCTTCCCTAAGTCCATCTGGGCTCGAGTAATCACTTCACCTAAAAAATAATAACCATCAAAAGAATTGATTTTCACTCTGCAGATATCATATATTTTACAAGACTACAAACTAAAGTCAACAATCTTTAATTGCGACTATTGCAATGGCATTGAGAACTAAACTAAGACATAAATAATAATGAGAATAAGTTGCAAACACATAAGTCAGATTGGGGTCTTCAATATAGATTCTGGGTGATCCATGGTAACATGTCTAAGACCGACGCAAATACGCCCGGCTGATTCTGTCGCTGGCCACAACGTTTGCCACCATAGGAGACAATGCCGTACTGGATGTATCGTGTCGTATTCTTAAAAGGATTGCGGAAGAAGAGAGGACCACCAGAGTCACCAGGGCAGGTATGCACAATGTTTTCTCCAACAGCGCAAATGTGATTCTCATTGAGGTAAGCATCAGCATAGAAATTTCGGCAAACATTATGATTCTGTCGCCTTACCACCGCCTTGAGCAGCACGGAGGATGGCTCGTTATTCTCGGTGCGACCCCAGCCAGATATAAAGAAGCTCTGGTCATAAGATATATCCTGGGATTTACGATCAATCGGCAGGCAGATGGGCATAATGTGACCTTTGAACTGAACGGGCCGATCAAGTTTGATGAGGGCTATATCATTGTTGATAGACTTATAGTTGGGATGCGGGCGTACATCTTCTAATCCATACTCCTCGTAGGGTGGCAGGCAGTGCTCAATGCGACCGCCTAGAAATTCACAATCCTTTTCGGTGCCCAGATTATGCTCGCCCAAGCGCACTCCAATGCTGTCGAGAAAGAATATAAGCAGTTGGTTAAAAGTGCGTGGCAGAATAATGAGCGTGGACTTACAGCTTCTCGTTCCTGGTCACACAGTGGGCCGCGGTCAGAACAAAGCGATCGGCAATCAAGCTGCCGCCGCAAAGAAAAGGTCGTTCGGACGTCTCATACTTAAGCAGCGCCAGCCAAGGGAATTCACCGAGTCTTGCCTGCTCTCCTCCGCTTAGCTTCGTGTTTGCCTTCTTGCCGCACTCCGTGACAGAGTTCAGTAACTCCATGCCACGCGGATCGATGCGCTTAAGATCGCCAGTGGATTGGCGTGTGCTTTGCGGGGTGTTAGTTGTTGTGGGATTTTGCGTCGAAAACGTATTCCGATTGTTGTTACCATCGCTCTGAGCAGTGATCAGTGCAGCGCTGGGGCAGCACAAATGAAAGACCTGAAAGGCGAATGATTATTGAGTGCTGGGCCAGTTTGCAATTATGTTGTAAATTGCACTTACCGCACGTTGGCCAATATTGCAGGCCATTTGTCTTAGCTGATTTTGTATCAAACGTGGAATATTCCGGCCATATGTCGCCTGCAGATTCCGAACAAACTGGCATTGTTGGGCTGGCACACAATAACCAAATTCACCGATGGGGGTGTAACAACTGTTGTCTGCCTCTAAAATGAAAACAAACGTTTATATTTACGATGCGATTAATTGATTGATCAACAAATAACTCGTTTGACTGGTTGCGCGCAGCCGATATCAAACAAAAATAATAGAAATATACGCTTAATAGTCGTATATAACTTAATTATTCAGTTGCCTATTCTAGCTACTTACGAGTCGAGACCAACGTTGTCACGGCCAATAGCACGAGGCTCAAGACGCCCATACGAAGCTGCATCCTGTCCAAGTCTCTTGAAGATTCCCGCAATTAAGAGCTCGATGCGATCTCGGTTCTTGATCTTTAGCTCAGCTCGCGCGCTCAACTGTGAATGAGGCACACGCCGACGTGTGCCGCGCTTTTGTACCTTAAGCTCGCGTGCTGGTTTAGCTGCTTATTAAAATGCATCAATTATAATTTACCCAGCGTTAAACTCATGTTGTTCTCAACTGGCCAACAGGTTTGCCACTAGCGTCAATGCAGCACGTGTGACCGGTGCCAAGACTAGAACGTGGATTTGTTTTTACCCACAATGTCACTGATTTAGTGGATTGGCCTTATGTGATGCTGGTGAGCGTCGGACAAGCGATTAAATTCCAGGAAACCCCCCAGTGACCGCCCACTCTGTCTCACTCTCACTCTCCCGTTCTCGCTGTCTGTCGCACATTTTTAATCCCAGTCGCTTCGCTCTCTGATGCGTTGGGAAAGTAAAGGTAGATAAGTACGCCAGATGGGGTACTTTTTTCAACTGGGTTAAAAGTGTTTTAATTGCTATTAAAGCTTTGCTTGGCTAAGCCCAAGCAGCAGGGATCTGGCTAATTGCACGGGTTGCCCAAACTTCTTTTCGGAAATCCCACGAACCTAAAACCCCACAAAGTGTACACATTTTTCTTTTTTTTTGGTTTTTTATGTCTACTCTGGGTAAATGAAAGATCCAGCACTTGTACAAAACAAATTAGCTTTGTTAACTTTTTGAAATCCCCGAAAGTTTGATGAACGGGATATGCGTATGTGTACATACATACATACATATAAATATGTAGGCAGAATTATGAATCATATATATGAATAATATTGCGAATGTACGAACTTCATATAAAACTTAAGGCAATTTAAATCCAGCGCCAGAATATTTATTCAACTAGTATATTAACCTATTCTAACCGCAAGACCACAAATACCGGGACTTACAATTTTCCAGACGTAGTACAAATGTTGTTAATCGTGATAAGCCCAGTAACTTACAATAATCAAATTAGACAAGCTAATTAGTTAAAAGCGAGTATATACAACAATAAATTCTCAGTCAATTAAGATAAAAACTCAGATAATAGTTTTTCATTATTATGAAATCTTTCTTATTAGTTGATGAAATATCAAAAGGGCGTCTCTTGTCGTAAATATGTATTTACGAGTCGATTTTTTTGACAACTTATGCTTAAAATGGAAAATACAAAAAACAAAAATTGGTTACAAGAAAGTTAAATATTAACAAAAATGATCATAGTTGACCCGTTATATAGGTGTGTAAATATTTTCATTTGAAAATATGAATGCCGTGTCAGTGTTGCAAATGCAGAAAAGTACAGCGATCTATCAACGGCAACGAATGAAGCTTTTAGCGGAGACACAAACAAATTGGCGAAGCTTAAAGTTTTATGGGTAGTATAGGTTTTTAATTCTGAAAGTCATATTACATATAGCATATGGATATATGTACACAAGCCTCTTATCATAGTAGAAAAATGTGTAGAAAATGTGGACCTACTTGAAAACTGTCTTTAAAATGTATGTTAAGCTTAAAGATGAATCTTATTTCAATTTGAATATGTTTAAGGTGTTAATAATATATATTTATCTCTTTCTTAATAAAATTGCTTATAAAAAATTGCCTCAATTTAAGAAAAAATCTTCAAATGAAATATTACGATTTTTAAACATATACAACATTTTTAATATGTTCTATTTTAAATAAACATTTTTTTTTGCAATTGAATTCATCCCAACGCTCTTGAAGTTGGAATAGCCAGCATAGTTTTGAATTCCCTATCAAGAATTTCAGCCAAACCCCATTAATGTATATATATTCATAATCTGCAGAGAACTCAGCCGGCTGATCTAGTCCGCTTTGCGAGACAAGCAAAAGACGGACTCATGTAGTTGCTGCAAAGCTGAAAAACCGGTAATCTAGCCGAGCTCTGCAAAGAAATGGTTCTCAGCAATGATAGTTGCTCAGAAATTCAGCCCAGAGAGCGAGAGACACAATACAATCCACAGTGATCGTGCCCTGCCTACCTGCATGGCACCTTCCAGCTGGTGGGCAGCAACAGGTACCTGAGAGAGCGCAGCTGAGCAACTTGAGAAGAGCGAATCGAAGTCCAGCAGAAAAAGACCACGTAGACCTCCGCTCACGTTGTTGGAATTCATTCCACAGTGAGACGCCGTCGCGATCGCAAGTCTCGAGCGGAGCGAATATCTTGAGCACACACAAATATCGAGCAGAGGCAAAGATTGAAGAGTCAGGCCAGCAGATGAAACGACTGTTAATTAAAATTCAATTGCATTATTAAGTATCTATACAGTATACACATATAGTCGCAACGGAGTGTGCGAAACGGAACCGCAAAGCTCAGAATCCCATGACGCCATATTTGTTTTTTCAACCTGATTGAACGTCCCGTGTTCGTGTGAGAAGTGTCTGTGAATGCCAGTCGAGAATCATCTCGAGGCGGAAACGAAAAGATTCTGTGTGAAACGAAATTCAAAATTCATTTAAATAAGTGAAGCTCAAAACAACGAAAATTCTAAAAAAAAAAAAACCAAGAAAGAAAAAACAACAACAAAAAGAAACAAAGCCCCGTCAACTTTTGTGGAGTGTGCGCGTGTTTCTTTTCGCTGATATTATGGTTGGAAGAGTGTGTGTGTGTGATGTTGCAAGTGTATGCGTGTTTTGTTAGTGAATGCGACTGGCAGTGTAAAAAATATCCGCTTACCTAAGCGTACAAATTCTCTCGCAAAGGCTTAAGAACCACACTTGAATACAGCACAAAACACACACATATACATACAAATATAGACACGCACACACTGGCGCATACCTGTGTGTGTTTGTACGTGGCTAACATATAAAGCAAAACCAGAAAATCCACATTGTTCGGTCTCGGTACGCGCCTACGTTGCCTACGCTACGTAAAGAACGCGCATAACGTAAGACGTTTTGTTTTGTTATTGTTGGTGTTGTTGCTGTTCCTGTTGCTGTTCCTGTTGCTGTTACTGTCACAATGGGCGACTCCACGCCCATTTGCCGCTGCCGGGTACTCTATCTGGGCAGTGCTGTGCCGCGCCAGAGTAAGGATGGCCTGCAGGGTATACAGGAGCCGCTGCGCAGCCTCTATCCCTCAGAGGGCGCTGTGGGCGCCAAGGGCATCGATAGCTGGCTGAGCGTCTGGTCGAACGGCATACTGTTGGAGAATGTGGACGAGAATCTGAAGCAGATCACACGCTTCTTTCCCATCGAGTCGCTGCACTATTGCGCCGCCGTGCGTCAAGTGCTTATACCGGAGCGCGGCAATGCTCATCCGGAGCCAAAGTTTCTGCCGCTGGATTCGCCATTTGCGCGCATGCCACGCGCCCAGCACCCGCCCATCTTTGCAGCCATACTGCGTCGCACCACTGGCATCAAGGTGCTCGAGTGCCACGTCTTTATTTGCAAACGCGAGGCGGCGGCCAACGCTCTAGTCAGATGCTGTTTCCATGCCTATGCTGACAACTCATATGCACGCCAGCTGGAGACAGGCAGCACAGTTGGGGGCGGCAGCAGCGTCTATGGCACGCTTAAGAGCGGAGCCGGCAGCAAGTCCAATGGCGACCTCACCAGCGTTGGCTTGACCAACGGCCATGGTAACGGTCACCATCATCTGGCCGGGCAGGGCGGCTGGAGATCTCGCGCCGGCAGCACCACAACGTTAAACAGCCTGGGACGCACATCCAACGGACATGTGCTCAATGGTTCTGGTCTGGGCATGAATGGAGGCAGCACTGGCAGCGCTGCCGAGGGCTACACATCAGTCAAGAATTGTGAGTATTTCAACAATCGAGTTTGTTGCCTAAGTCTTTCGTTTTGCCACGCCCAATGCCCAATGCTCTTTGCAGCTTGCGCCTTGAGAACTTTTGCCCCATCTTTAGCAACCATCAGATACAGCTACTAGCCCAGGTACAGTTGCCTAAGTATAGCTGGCATGTCATCTAATTAGCTGCATGTGACCGGCACGAAACGTTAGAACAGCCTGAGATAAAACGCAAACTGCTTTGTCTCCCATCTCAGCAATGATCTCAGCAATCAGGTAGCTAAGATGAGACGGCTTTGTATACCCTTTTAGTGGTTCCTATAAATATGTCAGGAGATTTGTAATGCGTTAAATGCGTACTGTGTAAGACTTCCCTGTAGGTATATCTGAATATTTGAATGCTCAGCTGTATGCAGTCCCCCGTCATTATGATGGTGCTTAACTTAAATTTTTATAGATGATTTTTAATTTGCCTCGCTCTAGATCTTGGATCTAATAATATGAAAATACTCTGTAAGTGCGCAACAGATATAGAAGATAGTTTTTTTTCGGTTGAGCTTGTGGTGCACAAATTCTCGAAGGTTTTCGGTCGCGCATTGGTTCTTCAAATATATTTTATTAATTACTTAGAAGTGCAATATCAATCAAATGAGCTAAGATTTTATATAAATAGCAACAAAGTTGAAGGTTTATCGTTTATCATTAAATAAGCTACAAAAGATGAGCCTCACCTTGAAATACACACACACGCACACACTCGCACACACAGTCGCTGCCTAACAATATGTACAAAGAAAAAACATTTCTGCACGCCTCAGACATTGTTGAGAAATAGAAAATGTTGTCACAGCGTCGAAAGTATTTGGGTGCAGTACAGGTATTTTATTTTATTTTCAGTTATTGACAGTGTTTTTTTTTATGCACGTTTCTCGGACGCCTGTCGTTGGCACTGATGACTGATGGAGGGCTCGGCAAGTGCCAGACACGAACCTTTAGCCGATGGTGATGTTGCTGACGGTGTCTGGTAACAGAGAAACACTTACGGGTATTCGACTGTGCGCTGTCTCGCAGAGTTTTAAACACTTTCCACTTATTTAAATTTCGTCGACAGCGACAGAGGCACAAAAATCGCCGCTTTATGGCATTGGTTATTGCTGCTGCTGTTGGCCTGGTCAGCGACTGCCTTTGAAGTCGAAGCTGTCTCGGTTATAGCAAAGTTATGATAATTAGCATGTAAATTGCTAGAGCTGAGGAAAGCAGCAGCAGGCAGCAGTCAGCAGCAGCCAAGTTAAATGTGTTTCGAACAAACCAACGTTCGCGATCTCTACTCTCATGCCATGCAAATTAGCCGCATTTCGCTTTCGACCTGCAGCTCCTCCCTGGGCCCAGCTGGAAAATCTGAAATGTCTGCATGTTTATTAAGTAGAAATGCGACCAATAAACCCATCCGAATGGAAGCACTTTCTAACCAAATTGGCTGTAATTGTCATGAGTAAATGCCTTCTATTCATTTTATTTAAATAATTTTATTTTTTGCCTTTTCCAGTATCTTTTGCCTTATCATTCAAACTAACTATGCAAAGCGAGTGACTTGCTCTAAGCTAATTAATAAGTCTTATACCATCATACCTGACCATGGCAGACACATAATTTATTATTATTTAGCGGCATTCTCACAGCCTCTCTCACTAAAGTTGTTGTTGTCATTCTCAAGTGCAGTTGGCGGACTCACATCCACACACACACACACACCCAAACTTGATTGTTGTAGCTGGGCAGGAACTGTGGTCGCGTGCAGATTAGCGGACGTCGGCGCCGCCAACGCTGCCAACTTCAGGCCGTGGGCCCAGTGCCAGTTGGGGGGCGCACATAAGTCTTATACACATGATCGTGTATATATATATATATAAATATATGTACTCACTGGGCACATAAATTGAGATGAACGCGTGAGAAAATTTTGGGTTCGGGTTTATTTTGTTATGACTGTTTTCCATTTGCTGGGCTTTGGACTTGGTCTTGGTCTTGGTCTTGAATTGGTTTGGTTATTGCCCTGCTCGCCACTTTCTTGTGTCAGTCGCAGTCGGAGTCGGTGGTGGGAAGTATATATGTATATATACAACACATATGGCAGCTTGCTGGGAAGTGTGAAATCGACTGGAAGTAGAGCCAGACCCGTGACTAAGTGTGCAAGAGCTGGAAAGCGGGGGGGAATTCTTAAAATTGAGCGTGTGAGCAAGTGAAACTTTATTTTATGTATGATAAAATCTTATACGATACACGTGTGTATGTGTTTGTATCTGTGTGTTTCTGTCCAAGTAGTAGATTTTCTATTAATTAACATTGTTAATTTGCTTGTAGACAGTTTCGAGATTAAGGTTTTGCTGCCGCTCATTGTTGCTCTCCATGCGAATTGAGGTTGTGTCGCCGTGTGATATTAGTGAAGGAATCTCGCGTACGACAGCTTGATAATTGCTTCTCTCTAGCTCTTTCTCTCTCCCACTCTAGCATTTAATTCTTAATTGAATAAACTAATTTCAATTGCAGCTTAATGGCGCGAAAGTGTGCTAAAGAAACAACTAGGTTTTTGTTTTGTGTCTCAAGTTTATGCCACGACCTCAACTGCCAATTGTTGGCCAAGTCAGTTAGCGTACGTTCAGGTCCATTGATAAACAACATGGCCACAGACTCCACATTTGAGTGTATGCGTTGCCGTTGGCCGCGCCTCTAGCCTGTTGATCCAAGCAATTCGCAGGTGGCTTTGTCGACAGATTTTGTGGTACCATTTAAATGGCAAAACAACGAAAAACATAAACCAAACCGAAACAAGTTGCACATTGTTGAAGACCAGATTCCAGTTTCGGAATGAGACAACGGCACAGTTAACCAAAATTTGACCTACATAGCCCGGCCAGGGGGAAAAAGCGCACACAAATCTCGTTTGGCTGGACATGATGTAATCAACTAATGGAAATTCTATTAGGAAATCAGTTGGAAATTATTTAGGAAGCAATAGCTGTTGCAATCCATATTAAATATATAAAAGAAAAGTATTTATATATAGGAAAAAACCAGTCGATCATTGGCATGCAAATATGCAACAAAAGCAACAGGATGGCCACTTGACCATGACTGAAATATCGAACAGTGGTGGGCGCAGCAGCAAAAGAAGTGCCAACAGGTTCCAGCTTCCGCTGGCAGCGTGCGGCATCTCTAGGAGCGGCAGTGCAGCAATTTTGTATTTTTTTTTCATTTCTGTTTTTGCTGCTATTACGAGCAACGATCTCAAGTGGTTGTTGTTGTTTTTGTTGTAGCATCGCTGTTGCAGTTGCATTATTATTATGCAAAGAAGCTGGCCAAAGACTGAGCGTGAAATATGCAGATAGACAGTTTGTTAGACAGAGATTCAGAGAGGATAGGCAGATAAAGCGAGTGGCAGGCACATTAACCGAAATCCAGTTGCAGTTGAATGACTTGGGCCGGTTGCATGTTGCAGTCACTCGGCAAAAATTTCTTGTTGACTTGCAACATTTTTCATTATTTTTTTTCTGCGGTCTATCTTTGTTGTTGCCATGTCGAATTGCGTTTAAGCAAAGCTCGATTACAGAAATTTGATTTTGATTATTTTTAGTGATTGAAGTGGCACAACAAAAAATGCTTCCATCAAACTCAAGCGAATTCCAACTTTTGACCTACTTTGCATGCCACCTCTCTCTGTATATTGCTTTCCATCTCTTTGTCTCTATTTGAAACGAAAGCAATTTTCCGTAATCAATTTATTATAGTCATGATATAATGAATATAATCTTTTGTTTTAGTAAGCTGTGCACTTCAAGTGTATAAATATTTAAAAAATAAGTATGATATAATTGAATTTTGAAAGGTCTTAGTAGCTTTCGATTAATAATAAATGACTCAATCACTGAGATCCATGCTCATATATGACACGCTTGTGAGTTTGTTTTGTAGTCGATCGGAAAAATAAGACCTGGTTTTATAGAATATTTATCATATCTGTTTGATCTGTTTGAATTAAATATATCTTGACTTGACTAAGGTTGATTAGCCGGAGCCAGATTTAAACAGCTTTTCCTGAAGCCATTTTTGTTTAAGTTCAAATGGGTTTTCCTGCGAAAAATAATTGCAGTCACGTCAGTCGACAGATTTCACCATGGAAAAAGGCCAAAAAATCTTTTCAATCTTTATTGCCTTGTCTTGTCGGATGTGCCTGGCGACACACACTTAACTCCAGACCCCAATACATTTCAATTGGTGCCTGAGCATATGAATAACTCACAATCTATGGGCCTGTAGGTGCTTCCATTAGTCACTCGTCTGGCATTCTACGTTGGCGTCGTCCCAGTTCAGAGCTGACTCTAGCTGCGCAGCTGCAGCACGCTGGAGTCGATGGTGGTTTGGGGCATTGGGGCAACCAGCCGCGGCTGGCTGCCAGCGGAAAACGAAATGGCAAACAAAAACAACAACAACAACAACAACCAAATTCCAAGCCGCATTGCGGCTCCATTTTTGCATCAGTGGAGGCAAAAACAAAGCAAAGAAAAACAAAAATTCAAAGGCGCTATTTGTGCTTCTGGCACTCCCCTTTCCGCTCGGAATTTCGCTGTGGCAAAGGCAGCTGAATGGCAAACACGCTTAAATGCCAACAGTTTGTTTTGGCCAACTTAAGAAACATTAAATATTTAACTTGAGCTCTCATTTCGAAGCAGTTGCATAGATTGCCATCGATCTGAGTCCGCTTGAGTGACTCACCGAATAACCTGCCCCAGCTCCAGCCCAAAACGTTGGCCAGCTTGACGTGGAAATACAATTTTCACGCACGCATGCGCTGAGGCCACTCGCCACATTAAGTGAGAGTATTAATTTTACTTTTCGTGAATGGAGTGTGGTGCGGCGCACATTGCTTATGACATAAGTATATATAAAGAGTAAGAGATCGAGTGGGCAGGGGAGAGGATCAAGCGAAGCAGCACTAGCAGAGGGCCTCTGCTTGCAGCTGGCTTAAACAATTTCACGTAATTATAGCAGCTAGCGAAATGCGAAACAATTAAAAATTATAAATCAACTTCCACGCTCAAAGCGAAATTAGCGTAAATTGCAACTGGAAGTGTAATTACCAACTATATTTTGCATTTTTACCAAAGCCAACTAACTGGCTGCTCGGCCAATACAATGTTCAGGAATTTGATTGACTTCCGCAAAACATTTACGCAGATTATGCTCCGAGCGTGGTAAAAGCTACAAATCGATTGTTTAAAGACCAAATCAAAGTGAAATCGTGGTGTGAGTTTCACCGGCTTGGGATGCAGATACGACATGGCCATAATCTTTGTGTTATATTGGCAAATATAACTAACAAGGTGGTTCTTGAGGGCAAATATTTACCAAACGAATTTTAAGTGGTTATACCCTGGTACATTTTTCTCACTATATTATACATATTAGTAGACATATAGACATAGTAAATACATCTGTAGATAAGTTTTTCTATACAAACTTGTTCCCAGTTGGCAGAGTATTGTTGCTACTATATCATATATCTTCCATAGGAACAATCCGTTTTAAATGGAATAATGGGCAAGAAGGAATAAGAAAAAAAGAACACTTTTAATACCATTGCTTACATGCTAAATGATATATCTTAGCCACGGCTGCCCGCATAGTTTTATTTACAATTCCAGCGTTAAGCCAAAACGACTTAAACTCACTTTCGAATATCGGTCTGAGCTTGAAACTAAAAATGAAAGCTGCAAAGATATGGATCTATATATATATTTAAAACGCAGCGGAGCCCTAGAAGTTATGTGAGAACTGGCGAAATGGGTCGGACAGTTTTGTGGCCATTAATTTATATATGTAATGCATTTGACATTTGGCCATGTGAAAAGCTCGCTAATTAAGAAACAGCCGAAACGAAGCGTTTCCCACCAAAAGTTTTGCAGCTTGTGCCGCTCAAACAATCAGTTTACATACAATATATGTATATATGTATTTGGGTGCTACCTGAGGGGGCAACAAAGGGTAAGATGTGCCCAAGAGTTCGCTCTCATTTTCAACGGCAGTCAGTCGAGTACGTTAGCCGCGTCTCGGAGGTCAATAGACCCCAAAGCGAGCGCACATTTCTCATGCTAGAAGCAGCGACAAAGCCACAAAGCAGCAAAAGAGCTGCAGAGCCGCAGCAGAATGGCAAAAAAAAAACATTGGAACCAAACCAAATTATGGCATGGCTAAGAAGCAAAGATATAAAAAGAGACACACAAACAAAAAATAGAAGAAAAACACGAAAGAACAGCTGTCGTCGAAGATTATATACCCTTCAGATGTACGATATAAATACAATATATATTGGATTGAAAAGTATAAATTGTTTTTATACAAATACTTTATTTCCGAAAGATCTGAACAGATAAATAATAAAGTTATCCGATGCAGCAAACTCGATCATACTACTTGAAAGATTCTGAAAATGGCACATTTGAATTATATAAACTTCCACGAACTCAAAATAACATATCATATCAATTCAAATTCATTTAGAATTTGTAGAAAATATTTTTTATAAAATTGTGTAAATCTCATTAATATAAGGTCATTTTTTTCAGCCTTTTCAGACTCGTACGTACCAAGAGCATAGAAAAGCATACAATTGTAGATAAAAATTTAACCACAATTTTCAACCATTTAAAGAACTCAAGAGGTCGCAATTTTTTTGAAAAATTATTCAAATTCTGGAATCACCAAATTTGTATACCCATTGATTCTATGGAGAATCTATTTGAGTTGGCATCCCCTATGATTTACGCAGCTCGTGACTAAATTAAAATACTCTCAGTAAGGGTATACACGTCGCTGACTCGTCGCTTTGTTGTTGTCTGCCGGACTAGGCGGCGACTGCGACTGGGGCTGGGTCTGGGCTGGTTTTTTCTGGCAGGAACTCTGGGTGGCGGGGCGCAACGTAAGCCGCAGGTGTAGCCGCCGCGCTAAAGTTATTAAATTACCGTTATTTATTACAAAACCGTTGCCATTGCTGCCATGGCCCAAATGCGCTGCAGAACCGCGCCAACCTTCATCGGTCCCGACAAAGGCGACGGCGACAGCGACAGCGGTGTTGATAGTAACGGCTTCGCACATAGTCATGTGTGTGTGTAGCTAGTATATTTATATCTGTATCTGTTGGACACATTCGCATTACCTAACTGACCAAGTCACACACACACACGCGTACGTGCGATGGGAACAGTTAAGAGTCGTCAAAGTCAAATCGCAACGCATTCAATTGCCTCACAATCGATTCATTTGAATGCGTCCACCGTCAACTCTTGACGGTCTTGGCCCATATATTTCTTCTCCTCCTTTTTGTAAACACTTTTGGATTAGACGCGCTCGACTAATTTCGAGCTTTTGGTTAATGTAAATACCATTGAATGGCCCAGCACTGGGCCGATCGCCACTTGGCACTTGGCACGGCGAGTGAATCAGCGCTTTAGCAAGCGCCAAAACGATGACCGGTAATGTGAGACAAGTGCGGCCAAGGTATTGCGCCCCTGCAATGCCCCTGCCACAAACCGTCCTTTTGGACATTTATAGTTTAGTGGACAGCATCCATTGGCCGCGAAGGTCAACCAGCTATCGACTGAAACCCAAGACCTGCATTCAGATCTGTGGATCGAATGATATCTTATATGTACGTTTCAACTTGTTCTTAACATAGAGCTGTTTTTTTTTTTTTCATTTAATATAAATCTGTACCTGTGTATTGCATATATAATTAACTAAAGTAAATGCTTTATACAGTTTTGGCGGGCATTTCGCTTCTTTGCTCGTATAAAGTATTTTACCCTAGAGAGAAATTAGTTTTATGACTTAACTAAGGTTCCAAGTTTCTAAGGTCGATCCAATTTCTTTATGTACTTGCAGTTTATGGTAGCAGTGCCGACCTGAACGTCACTGTGGATGATGGCGAGGCCTCAGTGTACAATGGCGATGAGAATCACAAGGTGTGGAGCGGCTCACAGGATCAGCTGGACAGCATAGGTGCCGTAGAGAGTCCCTATGAGCTGTTCGCCGGCAACAGCTCTACGCTGGGCAGGCCATTGCGAGCGCGTCAGATAAGCGCACCCATAGACGTGCCACCGCCGCCTGTTAAGGAGGAGCGCAAGACGAAGCGCGATAAGAAGTCATCAAAGTCAAGCGGCAGCCAGAGCTTGTCGGGCACACTAATCAGACCAAAGCCCATGCATCCGGCGGCGGCGCTGCATCGCTCACAATTGCACGCCGGACCAGGTCCGGGTCCCGGACCAGCCAGCGTCATCTATGGTCCTGTGTCCGGGCCGCATGCCGCACGCCAATATCACACAATTAGTCATCGCGGTTTTCCGCCCGGTCCGCCGCCTCATCATTCACATCCACACGCACATCCGCATCCGCATCCGCATCAGCATCAGCACCACATGATGCAAATGCATCATGCACAGCATTTGGGTGGCATGCCCCCGCTGCAGATACCCATGATGATGCCGCCGCAGCAGTACGCGACGCTGCAGCCCTCGCGCTCGACCAGCAAAAAGAAGAAGAAGGACAAGAAGAATGGCGGCGTTGGCGTGCCCGTGGGCATGCCCATTGTGCCGCCCATCTACGCTTATCAGCAGGCAATGGGCGGTGTGCCGCCACCACCAATGGCACAGTCAATGATCGGCGAGCCGCGTCCACTGAGCATGTCCAGCCGCAAGATGGCCGCGTCCATGGGCAACGGCCTGGACGACTCTGGCAACTCGGGCGCCGAGTCACCATCACCGGGCGGCACGGGTATCTATCGGCGCAAGGGTCACCTCAACGAGCGCGCCTTTAGCTACTCAATACGCCAGGAGCATCGCAGTCGCAGTCACGGCTCATTGGCCAGCCTACAGTTCAATCCCCCGGACATGAAGAAGGAGCGCGAAATAGCCCAAATGGTGGCTGGCCTGGACCTAAACGATGGCGAGCGCAGGCAAATGGCGCCAGGTCCGGCCACGCTGCAGCGCAAACAAGCTGCCATGGCGAACGGAGGACCAGGTCCAGCACATCCACATGCTCATCCCCAGCATCCGCATGCGATATATGGCCCACTGGGTCCCGCAAGTAGTTTCGGCAAGCCGCGCAGATAAGTTGGCAAGTGATTTGAGCTTAAGCCAAGCTATTCCGCATTAGGAACGCTGTCATCTGAATGAGTACACCCGAATTGGACTAAGAGAACTATATATACATATAAATATATATAGAATATTACAACATTATAGCGATGCTGGTCAATTTAGAAATGGAAACGAATCAATTATAAAATTTAAAAGCGACCAAGCTGGGCTCCAGCGACAGACTTTAATCAAATTGGGTAACCAAAATTAGAATTGATATTGAATCGAAATCTAAATCGATATCGAAATCGAAATCAAATCAATTATCTACAATGAATATGTGTGCCTTATTAGGTTTATACTTTAAGTATATATTTTTAAACATGAAAATTCCTTTGCCCATAACCAGACAAAAGCAAAGACAACATATAATCGATTATAATAAATAATGTAGAATAAAATAATACACTACAACACTTGACAACGTGGAAAACAAGTGCGTCAAACAAGTTGTTTCCTTGTTCTTATTTTCGAGCACAAATGTAAAATATCTTTTCGAATGAATGGAGTGTTAAGGAAGAGCTAAAAAAGGCACTTACGAGTAGACATAAAAAACATACCTACAAAACATATCTTTCATTCTGTCCATATTAGCATCTTAAGGCGCAGATGTATTAGATATGCATATGTGTGTGTAAACATAATTGCAAAAATATGTACAATAAATATAATAAAATGTTAACGAAATGTTTTAGCCTGGGACTCTGTTGGAAAAATCTCACACAAGTGTTTGCTAAATGGTCTCTTCTAAAAGCCAAGATCTATTTTTATAAAATCTGACGACCGTTTGTTCGCCGGGTTTCGTGTGTAGGCCTAAGCACACCTTTAAGTCAATTAGCATGCGCGGGCACAACATGAATAAATACACGGCATTTACATACATACGTATACCCTGTACGTCAGTCAGCATGTAACTGATTGGCATAGCGGGTGGTGTTGAAGGGGCAACCACGTGGTGCGAGTGGAGCCATGTGACAGCCGATACACGCTCGAAAAAAAAACTATTTATAAATCTTGAAAACTGTCGTAAATAATTTAAACTTAAAGGCGATTCAAATGAAATTTCAATTAACAACATCTTAATATATTTTTATATATTTCGAGAGAGTGACGATGCCATATTAATAATAAAATACGGATTAAGACATGAACTTTGCTTTGAAGTCTTTGAAATTAAATAAATTTTAATAAAAAAAAAAAGTAATTAATTAACTTTAAAAAATTATCATAACATTCATTTGCCAATTAAAAATGTTGCATATTTAAACTGAAGTCTTTTGCACTTTGTCATTTTATCAAGATCATAAATATTTATTATCCCATAAAAGTCAAATCCTATTAAAGTTAAATTAATTAATTGTAATTTCTGTCAGTTCGTATATATTTTATATATAATATGAGCATTTAAAAAATTGATCATATTCAAATCAAATATTTATTCTTGTGCTGCAATTTTATCACAGTGTATGCATTTGCTTGGAACACCCAACAGAATATTACCCAGAGCTTATGTAGATCTATGCCTAGACTCTAGCTCTGCATATGGGCTGTCGTGGGCTTCATAAATGAATTTGCATGCGAATTCCTTGCATGTTTCGACTGTCGCTGGCTGCTGATTTGCATGCGAGTGTCAGAGGCGTGCGAGGGCCGCGAATGCTGCTCTGTGGCATTTTCAAACACAAATAGTTCAGAAATTTGTTAACAAACTACTATGTTAAAAAAATAAATAAATAAACAAGCGAAAGTTGCAACGAACATATTTTGTGTGCATATTCGAATTTTGAGTGATGAAATCGTCGAGAGACTGTCGAGAATCTCGGTATAGCTTAAAGCTGGCTGGCGAGAGATGACGATGACGATGACGATGGCGACGACGGCGACGGCGACGGTGGTCGCGACCGATTCCAATTCCGATTTCACTTCCAGTTTTTGGCTCGACGCTACTTACTTATAATGCCGCAAGCAAAGATCATCGCAATTCAAGCTCAACTTTAACTTCCACTTCGTATGGGGGCAACATGTGTGAGCTGTATATTAAAAGATACAAATACAGATACAGATGCATCGTCTCGGGTGAACAGGTTAATTTTTAAGCAGTTTATAACTACACAAAAGTCAAAAGCGAGTTGCATCAGTGTCCTCGTTTTATTTTTTATATTTTTTGGCCACAATAATTGCAGGCTGGGCTTATACCTATTACCTGCACCTATAGCCATTTACCTTTATGTGCGTATTACCTAATTGCCGGCAGGCGCGAAACGTATATTTTGCCAGCCGCTTACCGTATAAATCAAAATTGGCAGTTCCAGTTTGCGGTGGCCCAGGAGTTATGCTTGGCCTGGGAGCTGGGATCCGGGGACGGCTGCTTCAGCATTGCGTAAGAGATTTTCAATTAAAAGCGCGCACTAGCCTGGCCTGGCCTGGCCCGATGTGTGCGTCTGTGACAAGGAGCGGCATATCCCTCTTGTACCATCTTGTGCTGGCGGCACTCGCTGTGTGTGTCAGCGGCACAGCCAGCGCTGGCTTTATGGGTATTCCACATTTATGCAACAAGAAAATGTGGCAAGAAAATGTTTTCCATTTCCAGTTTTACTCGAATACCAACGCCGACTTGGGCAGCTGGTCAAGCAGGCAAATTGCTGAACACACGCCACGCCGCAAGTTGTCTCTTTTAAGTACCTACTATAACTAGCTGGTCTAGCCGATTACGGCTGACCCACCCGAGGGCTACAAGGCATTGGGCGAAATCACGTTGACCCAAATGAATGGCTTGGCCAACCTTAAATTGCGTTTCAAACAGAACCGAGCTTGGAATTGCAATTATTTTCTTATCTGCATTGCAAATATTTGCCATTAACTTTTAGCTCCAAATGCATTTTAAGCATTAGAGTGACATTCGACTTAATCGCAGCAAAGTGGAAATTGCTGCTCCAGTTTCTTGCTAAACGCACCAAAAAAAATATCATAACTAGCTACTTATTCAAAGTTAACCCGTTTTGTGATTAAGTTATCAAGCGGATAAATAATTTCCACCTATCTCACGTAGAAAACACATCAAAGCTTGAGAGAGTACAAAAAGCAAACGTGATATCGTTAAAGACCAAGAACTTTGGAAGAGCTACTCAGCTCTTGATTCCGATAGCAGCCAAACCATGTATTAATCTTTTAATATTAAATTAGTATTCAAATCCAATAATTTGAAGCCATTCTTTCAAGCATGTTAAGATATTACATAAACAGATTTCTTATACAAAGAACCTATTATTATGCATATATTCATGTGACAAAGCCATGATACGGCTCTTAAAGCGTTTCAAACCGATCCGAAGAACCGCTCTGTTGAATTGCGTGAGCAGCAATCGAGACCTCGAAACACCTGCAAGCAGCAAGAAGTCGTTGTTGCCGTCACCACACGGCACCCCAGAGCACCACAGAGCACCACTGATAGTGCTGTCCAAGACGGCAAACAGCTCTCCAGCTCTCCGCGGGCAGTGCCCATGGACTGAAATGTGCCGGCTACGGCCCACAAAATAGTGTTGTGGATTTTGACTTGTTTCTAATGCTTGTCTCTTGGCATAGGCTTTTGTTGTGCTCACAGTTTGTGTGTGCTTGTGTGTGTGTGTGTTTTCGCACAGTGGTTGCGACTTGGACTCTCCGGGACTGGTTGTGGAGTATTGACAAATTGAGAGTGTGTGAGGAGCTGAGTGTGTGTGTGTGTGTCTGTGTGTGTTGTGTCCAAGTCTTCAGACCGTTGCATTGGGCTGCGACTACGGCTTTGGATTGCGGTTTGTTTATTGATAAACTCGTAGATACTTTTCTCTATAGCTGTTAATTTGGTCTTTTATGTACCACTGAGTATATGTGTGTGTGCATGTGTGTGTGTGTGTGTGCATACATGTGTGTGTCTACTATTCGATTGAATCTTTGGAATGCGGACAATCCGGTCAGCAAATGGAATTCTTTTTACACAACCACATAGACACAGCAAAACGGCTCAACGCGGTCAATAGGAGGGAGTCGGCACTTGACACGCAAGTCTCCGGCGACCAACTTGCTCAACTTGGGCCAACATGGACTGCCCACCAATGCAGCATGGCCGTCGTTGTGGTGCCTCAGACGGCACACATTTAATTAAACCTGTCATCAATGAACTCACCAAAAAGGGCGAAAAGTCGTGCCTTCGTTATTAAATCGGACGCCTTCAACAACTTTGTAATTGATCTGTTTGGGAATTGTGTGTGTTTGGGTTTAGATAACTTTTATTAATTTTTACTTCGCTTTCCTATGACACATGAAGTCACATTAATTCTATTAAGATTTTCATTTATGCTGAGTTTAAGGTCAGGCAAAAAGTTTCGAAAAGCCAAATCATTTAGTTATATCTGTTATTTAAGCAACTGCTGCAGCTCAAGGTCCAATTTCCAGTTGCGTTTGAAATTTGGTTTGCAGCCTTGTCAAGAAGAGAACGTTAAATATTTGTAATATTTACGTGCAATATAATTGGCTCGGAGTGAATTTCTTAGCTTCATGAATACCAATTCCTGGACTGCATCTACAACTAATTGGCCATGTACCTATATCTGAGTGTGATCTCAGCTTCTCTAGAAGCTCAACAACAACAATAATTTTCTTCACTCTCATCTTGAGCCACCCAACTTGTTTAAATTTAATTATTTCTGAGGCTGTGTGGGTTTTGTTCAGTCGATTCAATCACGTCAATCAGCTGTCAAATTATTTTTCCTGCTTCGCTTGAGGCCTTGAGAATAGCCGCGGAATATTAAAACGTGAAAAATTATTGAATTCTGTGTAAATAAGTCAAAGGATGCCAAGGAGTGCACACTATAAAAGCTAAGGCACCTGGCCAGGTTTTGGTATTCGTTCGACAGTTGAACAACTGTAAAGATGTTGCCCAACTGGAGCCCCAAATGGTATTCAAGCGCTCTAACGCTGGCTGTGCTTACGGCATACTTGCTTCTTACTGTTCCGGCACCATCGCAAGCGGAGGGCATGGACTCCGTTAAGGAGGAACTGCAGCTGCGTGACATGGAACCCAAGCTAGAGGATAGTGGTGCACTCAATAGCAATAGAGAAGGCCCAGCCCTGACACGCTTCAGCAGCAGCAACAGACGAAATCAAAGATCCATAGGCTTTGGGTCCAAGTACTTTCCCGTTACTCGCTCGAAGTATCCCATCGAGTTGGAGCTGCTGGTGACCAACGATGAGGCCGAGCGCCCAAAGCGATTCGATGATTACGGTCACATGAGATTTGGGAAACGGGGCGGCGATGACCAGTTTGACGACTACGGCCATATGCGATTTGGACGCTAAATGCGACTGCATTATATGGGGATCTGGGAGCGAATTGCTTTTGTAAATACTGCGTACTTATGCTAACTTATACTACATAATCCTGGCTACAACTAATATTTTGAAGTGAATTAAAAGATTATGCATTCCATAAAAGGAAATTTCATCACATTTTTATTGATTGCAATTATTAATTCAAATATTTCATTTATAAGACATTATAACGATATTATAATTACAAATTGCAAATGGCACGTAAAAGTATGCAGTACTTTAAAGTTAAGTTTTCGGCGAAGATGCCGCCATCTATGCGTATTAGAGCTTGCTCAATTGAGCTGAAGTATACCTTCGGGCTGTACCGCATAATGAAACTGCATTGATCGCTCCTCACTTGACGAGCACTCCACGCACTGCTTGCTATAGCAACTGCACTCAAAAACTGCTTGATATGCTGTGTATTTAACGACACTACGAAGCCACTCGAGTCTGATTGGAATGAAATTTGGAATTTTCTCTTGCTTGCCGGGCAAAAGTATGCAATAATATTTTACCTAAAATTACTTGCAGTGCATTCATAGAAAAACAAAATTAGCAATAGAATTGGTTTATTCTTGCTGTTATAAAATGCTCCACCTGTTAGGAAATGATAGTTTTTATGAACATATTGTAGCAGGCAGCTTACGACAGGCAGACTTTATGAGTGCGGCAAATTCAAACTGCCTTAAGCAAGCTTAAATTATATTAATATTTTTTTTTAAGATAATAAAAGCATAATGAGACCACTTCTGTCTGTCGTTTATACACAATTGAAAGATTCCAAAAGTGAAAGATATATTCGTGAAAATCAACATGTTGCTTAGATAATATATAAACATATATACCAATACAGCAAATCGAAAAAAAATAATATAGTCCCAATATCTAGAATTGAACTATGGACAAATATTTGCGTAGTTACTGCAAAGTTCATGATAGTTTTTTACACTCTCAATTGCTTCTTAGATGTTTTTATCAAAGCCCAGACTAAACCGAACAAGATTTCTAGTTAATATTTACATATTCAATTATTTCATAAAGAATAAAAGTCATAAAAACTATGATTTCAATTATCCATCAAATCGAATTATAGTGAAAAGCCTGTTCATATTAATTAGGTGACACTTTTCGTGGTGCCCCAATTAAAAACTGGCCGTTTCTGGAGCCCGAAGATGCCTGCCAAGAATCTTCACTAATCCACCCAATAAACGATATAGAAGCGCCGCCTCGGTCGACTGACACAATTCCCTGGAGCACAAAAAGCAAAGAAAACAGCTAACCAGGAGCCAGCACACTATTTGTGGGGCTGCACCACAGACCATCACTTGCTTGAAGCTGCAGACGCCAAAGATTCTGACAACAGCATTCTTAGAGATTGACCCATTTCGAGCCGAATGCGCGTGTAGAACCTGTTTCCATTCAGGTGGCCATATCAATTGACGGAGTAAGTTAGTCCGGGCCAGGCATAAATTAATATGACCAGGCCACCTTGAGCTTCAAGCGCGCCTGTCTAACGGTTCATTCAAATATTGGCCAAATACTCGTATACTGGCACGTTCCCAAATGAGCACACGCCAAATTTGGGACAGTACCCACGCAGGTTTAACCACTTTTCGGCGACGGGTATTCAAATATTGGGATCGCTGGTCAAGGTGGACAGGTATGGGGACAGGAGCTGGCCACGCTGACCTGCTCCAATAAAAATAGAAAATTTTCGGACAACAATTTCTGCAGGAAGTCAAACAAAAGCCCAAATATCGTCTAGTGTGGACATTTTGGATTTAAATGGTGACTTTAAATGTCTTATGTTAATTATGGGCTTGAGCTGACAGTGGAGACACAAAATTTGGCTAATCCACGTCAGCTGTCACTAACAGCCGCCTAGCGTCAGTTGGACGCCGCCGGCGACAAATGCGTGACGAGATTACGAGTACTTTGCACATAACCCAAAGCCTCTGCCGCAGCAGCAGCCACAGATACAGCCGCCGCCTCAGCTGCTGCGTCGGAAAACTCGCCATGAAGCTGGCGCTTGGCTGGCCGACACCAAGTGGACGTCGCGTGAATGGCGCTCTGGACGCAGCTAAATTGCTCTCGAGCAGTTAGTCTTGTTATTGGCTTCACGCGCTTCGGTCGCTGTTTCGGCTGCAGTTTCCATGGCAGCTCTTTCGGTTGATAAATTCTAAACAACATACAGCCTAAAGTGTTGTGTACTTAACAAGAACCTTAAGTGAGCTCAATAGTTGTGGCAATAGAAATTATTTTAATCCAAAATTATTCTTACCTAAAACGAAACTTGGGAATCTATCAGTTATACATTCTTGAGATGGATATAGAAATCACATGTGGGGATTAAAATGACAATTAGGTAAGTCAAAATTCTCAACAAATGAAAATATTTTGAAATATTACACATACGACTAGATGGCTGAGCAAAATGTAATTATAGTTTATTTAAAAGCCCATAAAGGAATCCAACCACACCAAAATATTGAAAAATGCATAAATTGCAAATAATAAATATCTAAGAGATAGAGATAACTATAGTTGACGACATTCGAATGCAAAATATTAACAAAAGGAAAATATAAAATAAATTTATTTAATTATATAATATAGTTGTTATCATTATTAATAAGTATATTATATTATAAAATACAATTATTATATATATTGCTGTTAAGCATTTTGAACGTAAGTCACATTAATTTATAATCCATAAAATAATGGCTTGACTTTACAATCATTGTGACTTCTGTCCACTTAATTGGCCAATATCGTTAAATACAAGACTGTTACCAATCCGAGCACTGGCTAACTGTACTTGTGTCTATATTTGGTACCAGAAGTAAATGCCATATTAAAGTGTCGACAAATACAATCTTTCGATTAGCGGGATCTCTTATGCTGCTGCTGCTGCTGCTGCTACTGCTGCTGCTCCCCCTCCAGCCGATTGTATCAAGATCGACAAAAGCCATTTTCCTGCTGAACTCGTTCAGTTTGTTGCCTGCCCCTGTCCCCTCGCCGTCCCCATCCACAATGTTAGCTGTCCGTTGGCCGCATTTGCTGTTCGCGCTTCTTTCAAGGAGGGATCTCGAGTTTTCATGCAATTATTTTCAGATTTTCTCCTCTCGGCTGCTGCTGCGTGACAGGTCTGTGGTTTAGAAACTGGAGCATCGATGCGCCGCTTGTGGCAGCTGTGCAAGTGCAACTTGTTGGCAGCTCGCTGGCTTCCAGTTCTAAAGGTGGGTCACAGCCATAACTCCGCGCCTGTGGCGACCAGAACGCATCAATACAGGCTCACACATGCTCGTAAGTAGGGGGTATACGAATACGAATACGAGTTTTGCCTTCACGTCGAGACATTTCCAATCGCTTTACTGCTACTTAACTGTATTTTAATCAAGCAACTTATAAGAATGTGCTAATCAAGCCCATGCCTACATGTATCGCAATTAATTAGCTGAGCTGCAATTTTATTTATTACATGTCTGCCATTTGTTACATGCATCTTAGCACACTTTTTAGCCAAGGATTCTTTTGATAAAAAATAAAATATATCAATTTGATCGCAATCCAGCTAGATGGTATAGATAGTTATCCAATCTAAATGTCGTTGTTTGTTGTGAGCCTTCCCGTCTTAAGTGTGAAGGCTTAGTCAGATCGAGTAGAGGTTCTTTGCCTTTTTAATCAAATATATTTTGACTGCACGTATAATATAATACATCTCTATATTAATGCATAGCTGACCGGCTTGAAATTAATGGGGTTTTTTTAATAAAAAGGAGCAGTTTGTCTTTATAGCTATTCCAAGAACCTCTCAGCTCTATTGCTATCATCAGGGATTGCAATAACCTTGTGCCCTTTTCGAACCATTAACTTGTTAAGAATTGCAGGCGTTAAGCTACAAAATCCAAAGTCAATTATTTAATATATCATAAATCTTGTAGCAACTTAACATGTGTGCTTATTTTTTCAAAGAAATTTATTAATTATTATCTTATAAATGCGCGGGTGCAGAACTTTCCCCAAATCGTGTTAAACGATCCACAGTCAGCACCTGAATTATGATTATATCTAACAGCAAACTGACAACGGCACAAAGCCCGAACCGAACAATAAGAGAACAGTTAGCATTTAAGCCCAGCAATCTGATGGTGTCAATGAGTACTCCGACTTCTATATAATTTTCAGTCTGAAGCAAGTGCCGCCTTCGCTGTCAGCGTGTGTGTGTGTGTATGTGTGGAACACCACTGACCCACAAAGCACGCGCCATTTGAACCCAGCTGACCGAAATAAATGAAAGTCGCTTTAGCACCCAGAAGAAAGAAAATTGCCTGAATTGCAGCGAGGCAATAAAAAAAGAAGAAATACCGAAAATCTCATTCATCGGGCAATTATAGCAATAAAACATGTTGAATTTCCATAAGAATTTTCTTGCGTCCAGCAGATACCGCTAAGGTTGCAAGCAAATGGCCAACAGATATGCATGTAGATACATATTTAGGGGCATGCATGTGCGTTGGCTCTTGGCAATTTATGGCGCAGAGTTCATGAGCAGCGGCACACGTCACGCTTTTTGCGCAGTTTCTTTGTTGGATTTCATTATCTACGCCGTAATGCTCACCTTATGGCTGCATTGTTCGCCAAACCTAACAAAGGTGCTCAAAAGTGGTATAATTACATAAATATATATAGATATATGTATCAAAAAGTTTGGGCCTTAATTCGACCTTCTTTTTAAATTTTAGACATTTTTTTTTATTTGTTCTTTTCAAATCGAATCCTAACAAATTATATCAATAATTTTGAATTAAACAAGCCTCCTTTTAAATGTAAATGTTTTTTCAAAAATATTTTAGAAAACTTATTTAGTTTCCAGTTAAATCTTCGTTGGGTTTTCTATAAGTTGAATCATGATTGATAGATATATCTGATAAGTATCTGGTATAAGGGTGCTCAAAATTGAAAAATAGAAATACAAAATTTGAACTCTTAATTTAAGCTTCTTTTCAAATTTTAGAATTTTCTCTAGTTGTGGTTTTTATTCGAATCCCAATTGATGTGCATACTTTCAAAATATGTCTACAATTCAGAA